GGATTTTTTTTTTTTTTTTTTTGTTATTAGAGGGTGGAACACATGTCTCTGATGTTTCCAATTAAATGTTAATGTTAATAAATAAATATATTAGAAGATTTGAAATATTGAACCTGAGTGATTTATTTTGAACAAAATTATTAATAATTGAATTGAACACAACCCTATTTACTTTTGTAAACACTGCTGGATCTTTCATCAAATGAAACAATGCCAAAATAATAATATTGAAAATGCTATATATATAGAAAGTATATTTAAATCTTTAAATGCAAATCAAGTAATTAATAAATCTTAAACCCAACAGTTATATATCAAAGCTAAACGATTGTCAGATTATATTGGGCTATGCCACTACTATATTACAATAATAGTAGTAATAATATAGCCTGATATAACCTGACAATTGTTTGGCTTTCAAATAATTAATTCACAAGACATTGAAAATTTTTCCCATGTATTAATTATTAAAAAAAAACAGTCTTTTCCTAGTGTTAACATATACTATGATCTGATTTACAGTTTATTATAATTGGAAATTGATATACTTATCACTTCTTTTTTAACTTTTTGAATTTCAGTTTTTCACTGTAAAAATTTAAACCTGTTATTATTTTTTGTTTACAGGCAATGTTATATGTTTTAATTTCTATACATTGTATTTCATGTATAAGTACATATGTAAACTAGTGTTAGTTTATCAGCTTCAAAATTTTTAGTAAATACAGTAGACCCCCCTATAACACGGGTTCCTATAGTTCGGATTCCTATATCATGGCAAAAAAATTGCGACAGTATTCGTACAAACACGCTAAAAAAACTCCTTTAATTCAGTAAAACATCATCGCCAACTCGTGTCGCGACAGGACTGGTCGAATCTAGACCAATAGTGGATATTGCACAAACTGCTGAGTTTAAACAAGCAGTGGACCTACTAAAAACCATTTATTATTTAAATTCCATAAAAATTATATTAATGATGTCTCCAAAGTACAGCAAATTTTTCGCAAAAAAAAAATAATTTATCAGGAAGTACGCGAGTGCCATTCGATGACAAGCTCAGCCTACTTCCAGGTCACACACAGTTGGGAGTCACGTCGTTCTCCTAAAACTATTGCATTTAACTATTTATCTCATGCAGCTATGCCGGCTTTGAGTAGCCCACTTGACTGTGGAGTACTGATGTTATATAGTTTTTGGGTGTGGGGCTCATCCCCAAGCAGGCACTGAGGTGCAAGTGACAGCAAACATTCAAACACACAACTACACAGAGCATCAGAGCATGGAGAATAGGCAGAATGCCAGAATCTTTGAAAGTAAAGGTCGCACATAAAGTAGGGATCAATTGACTTTGTTGCTCATTCACAGTTCACATCTTATCATATTTACCATAGATGAATGCCCTATATATAACTTATCCAACCGAATAGATAGAGATGGATTATATACTGTATTAGGTAAATTCTTTTCCAAAATAAAATGAAAATATTAAAATTCAACATTAATTACTACAACTTGATAAACGTTATGGCCAAAGTTCCAATTATATTTCCAAAGGATTCGATTTAAACTTACATCATTAAGAAAGACTTAGCCACGAAAGAACTTACGTTTTTCTGTCAAAACTCCGGCCATGTTTCCCTATATAATCTGAATAAACAGTAAGTTAGATATAAATTTTTATTATTTAAACACTGGCAATCGTCACGAGTTAATTTTCATTTGTACCATCTTCCACTTTCGGTTTCTAGTCTTATAATCACTACTGTTATTTATTGACGTTATATTACTGAATAAACAGAGAGAAACAAATCATATATTTATGACTGATGACTGACATAACAACGTTGTAGCATTCCTCCTTCTCCACATTAAATTATTATAGATTAAAAATCAAAACATCGTGAAAGTTTAGTGTTGCCAGCTACTCTTCCAAATTCAAAATAAATTTTATTTTTACTTCTTAATTAATGCAGAAAAAACGTAATATACAATAATTGTTAATACATATAAAAACACAGTAAATATTTACTGATTACAGTTTATTAGAGAGATTGCGGCTGAAGTTTTCATCTCTCAAACGTGAACGCCGAACGTAGAGCGCCGCTATCTTGTAAGCGGCGTTCGACGTTCGGCGTTTACGTTTGAGAGATGAAAACTTTATCCTAATAGACTTGATGATATTTGTTTTCTTGGGGAGAACAAAAAGTAAACCTTCACGATTTATACATGAAATAAATATCATTTACAATAGTCATTCCAAATTGTTATTAAATATCGACAAAATAAAACTAACAAGAGAAAAATTAAAATTATTTAGCCAAGTAATAACAGCAAAAGGTGTTCCTTTGACAAATTGTTGAGAGTTCATACTTGGAACGGCACGTCCTATTTGTCGACCAAAAAGACATCAAAGGACCAGGGACTAGCCATGTGGAAAATGTGGAAAATTCCACATGGGCCGTATACAATTTGGCCGTTTTTTCTAAATATGTACAGTACATAATGTACCGTTTGGTTAAGTTTAATTTTAAAAAATTCATTTATTTTTTTTTTTGTTAAGTAAGGTAAATTTCAATTTTTAGGTATAATATAGGTATATGTGTAGGCCTGTATCATTTTACCCGGCGCTACCCGTATCCGAAGTTAAATTAGTTCGGCCGATCTGAGTCAAACACTACATTAGCTCGATTCGGCCCAAACAGAAAGCATCCTAGGAGAAAAATAATCAAAACT